GTGTGTGAACCAATCTGGATACATGATTGTGTGTAATTGTGTAGTGGATGTTTGTGTATCTGTGTTGTTTGTGATTAGTTAATATGTGTGTATTTGTGGTAGGTGGTGATTGTTTGAGTGGTTGATTGATTGGTTATGTTGTTTGGTTGATGTTTGTTGAGTGCACATCAGAGTCAGCTGCATTCGGTTATACGTCCACGTGTGCAGTGTTAACTGTGTGCGAAATAGACATGCGATATGATAGTGTTGGAATTATTTCCACATGATGATATTGCAACATTAGTGTTGTTGTCTAAAGTGTGAGTGTGGTGTTGATATGTTGTTATTTGTGATTGTTGCGTGTGATGTTGTTTAGTGTAGAGGGATTGAGTTGTGGTATTTGTGTTTGTGGGAGTATGTGGTAGGTAGTGAATGTGTTTGTAGTGGTATGGTTGTTGCCCCATGATCGAGTGATCACACTTAGTGTTGATCTTATGTTTCGTGGGGGAAATGGATGAGTCCTGATCGATCTACACATGTTTTGTATACTGGACATGTGTGTGAACCAATCTGGATACATGATTGTGTGTAATTGTGTAGTGGATGTTTGTGTATCTGTGTTGTTTGTGATTAGTTAATATGTGTGTATTTGTGGTAGGTGGTGATTGTTTGAGTGGTTGATTGATTGGTTATGTTGTTTGGTTGATGTTTGTTGAGTGCACATCAGAGTCAGCTGCATTCGGTTATACGTCCACGTGTGCAGTGTTAACTGTGTGCGAAATAGACATGCGATATGATAGTGTTGGAATTATTTCCACATGATGATATTGCAACATTAGTGTTGTTGTCTAAAGTGTGAGTGTGGTGTTGATATGTTGTTATTTGTGATTGTTGCGTGTGATGTTGTTTAGTGTAGAGGGATTGAGTTGTGGTATTTGTGTTTGTGGGAGTATGTGGTAGGTAGTGAATGTGTTTGTAGTGGTATGGTTGTTGCCCCATGATCGAGTGATCACACTTAGTGTTGATCTTATGTTTTGTGGGGGAAATGGATGAGTCCTGATCGATCTACACATGTTTTGTATACTGGACATGTGTGTGAACCAATCTGGATACATGATTGTGTGTAATTGTGTAGTGGATGTTTGTGTATCTGTGTTGTTTGTGATTAGTTAATATGTGTGTATTTGTGGTAGGTGGTGATTGTTTGAGTGGTTGATTGATTGGTTATGTTGTTTGGTTGATGTTTGTTGAGTGCACATCAGAGTCAGCTGCATTCGGTTATACGTCCACGTGTGCAGTGTTAACTGTGTGCGAAATAGACATGCGATATGATAGTGTTGGAATTATTTCCACATGATGATATTGCAACATTAGTGTTGTTGTCTAAAGTGTGAGTGTGGTGTTGATATGTTGTTATTTGTGATTGTTGCGTGTGATGTTGTTTAGTGTAGAGGGATTGAGTTGTGGTATTTGTGTTTGTGGGAGTATGTGGTAGGTAGTGAATGTGTTTGTAGTGGTATGGTTGTTGCCCCATGATCGAGTGATCACACTTAGTGTTGATCTTATGTTTCGTGGGGGAAATGGATGAGTCCTGATCGATCTACACATGTTTTGTATACTGGACATGTGTGTGAACCAATCTGGATACATGATTGTGTGTAATTGTGTAGTGGATGTTTGTGTATCTGTGTTGTTTGTGATTAGTTAATATGTGTGTATTTGTGGTAGGTGGTGATTGTTTGAGTGGTTGATTGATTGGTTATGTTGTTTGGTTGATGTTTGTTGAGTGCACATCAGAGTCAGCTGCATTCGGTTATACGTCCACGTGTGCAGTGTTAACTGTGTGCGAAATAGACATGCGATATGATAGTGTTGGAATTATTTCCACATGATGATATTGCAACATTAGTGTTGTTGTCTAAAGTGTGAGTGTGGTGTTGATATGTTGTTATTTGTGATTGTTGCGTGTGATGTTGTTTAGTGTAGAGGGATTGAGTTGTGGTATTTGTGTTTGTGGGAGTATGTGGTAGGTAGTGAATGTGTTTGTAGTGGTATGGTTGTTGCCCCATGATCGAGTGATCACACTTAGTGTTGATCTTATGTTTCGTGGGGGAAATGGATGAGTCCTGATCGATCTACACATGTTTTGTATACTGGACATGTGTGTGAACCAATCTGGATACATGATTGTGTGTAATTGTGTAGTGGATGTTTGTGTATCTGTGTTGTTTGTGATTAGTTAATATGTGTGTATTTGTGGTAGGTGGTGATTGTTTGAGTGGTTGATTGATTGGTTATGTTGTTTGGTTGATGTTTGTTGAGTGCACATCAGAGTCAGCTGCATTCGGTTATACGTCCACGTGTGCAGTGTTAACTGTGTGCGAAATAGACATGCGATATGATAGTGTTGGAATTATTTCCACATGATGATATTGCAACATTAGTGTTGTTGTCTAAAGTGTGAGTGTGGTGTTGATATGTTGTTATTTGTGATTGTTGCGTGTGATGTTGTTTAGTGTAGAGGGATTGAGTTGTGGTATTTGTGTTTGTGGGAGTATGTGGTAGGTAGTGAATGTGTTTGTAGTGGTATGGTTGTTGCCCCATGATCGAGTGATCACACTTAGTGTTGATCTTATGTTTTGTGGGGGAAATGGATGAGTCCTGATCGATCTACACATGTTTTGTATACTGGACATGTGTGTGAACCAATCTGGATACATGATTGTGTGTAATTGTGTAGTGGATGTTTGTGTATCTGTGTTGTTTGTGATTAGTTAATATGTGTGTATTTGTGGTAGGTGGTGATTGTTTGAGTGGTTGATTGATTGGTTATGTTGTTTGGTTGATGTTTGTTGAGTGCACATCAGAGTCAGCTGCATTCGGTTATACGTCCACGTGTGCAGTGTTAACTGTGTGCGAAATAGACATGCGATATGATAGTGTTGGAATTATTTCCACATGATGATATTGCAACATTAGTGTTGTTGTCTAAAGTGTGAGTGTGGTGTTGATATGTTGTTATTTGTGATTGTTGCGTGTGATGTTGTTTAGTGTAGAGGGATTGAGTTGTGGTATTTGTGTTTGTGGGAGTATGTGGTAGGTAGTGAATGTGTTTGTAGTGGTATGGTTGTTGCCCCATGATCGAGTGATCACACTTAGTGTTGATCTTATGTTTCGTGGGGGAAATGGATGAGTCCTGATCGATCTACACATGTTTTGTATACTGGACATGTGTGTGAACCAATCTGGATACATGATTGTGTGTAATTGTGTAGTGGATGTTTGTGTATCTGTGTTGTTTGTGATTAGTTAATATGTGTGTATTTGTGGTAGGTGGTGATTGTTTGAGTGGTTGATTGATTGGTTATGTTGTTTGGTTGATGTTTGTTGAGTGCACATCAGAGTCAGCTGCATTCGGTTATACGTCCACGTGTGCAGTGTTAACTGTGTGCGAAATAGACATGCGATATGATAGTGTTGGAATTATTTCCACATGATGATATTGCAACATTAGTGTTGTTGTCTAAAGTGTGAGTGTGGTGTTGATATGTTGTTATTTGTGATTGTTGCGTGTGATGTTGTTTAGTGTAGAGGGATTGAGTTGTGGTATTTGTGTTTGTGGGAGTATGTGGTAGGTAGTGAATGTGTTTGTAGTGGTATGGTTGTTGCCCCATGATCGAGTGATCACACTTAGTGTTGATCTTATGTTTCGTGGGGGAAATGGATGAGTCCTGATCGATCTACACATGTTTTGTATACTGGACATGTGTGTGAACCAATCTGGATACATGATTGTGTGTAATTGTGTAGTGGATGTTTGTGTATCTGTGTTGTTTGTGATTAGTTAATATGTGTGTATTTGTGGTAGGTGGTGATTGTTTGAGTGGTTGATTGATTGGTTATGTTGTTTGGTTGATGTTTGTTGAGTGCACATCAGAGTCAGCTGCATTCGGTTATACGTCCACGTGTGCAGTGTTAACTGTGTGCGAAATAGACATGCGATATGATAGTGTTGGAATTATTTCCACATGATGATATTGCAACATTAGTGTTGTTGTCTAAAGTGTGAGTGTGGTGTTGATATGTTGTTATTTGTGATTGTTGCGTGTGATGTTGTTTAGTGTAGAGGGATTGAGTTGTGGTATTTGTGTTTGTGGGAGTATGTGGTAGGTAGTGAATGTGTTTGTAGTGGTATGGTTGTTGCCCCATGATCGAGTGATCACACTTAGTGTTGATCTTATGTTTCGTGGGGGAAATGGATGAGTCCTGATCGATCTACACATGTTTTGTATACTGGACATGTGTGTGAACCAATCTGGATACATGATTGTGTGTAATTGTGTAGTGGATGTTTGTGTATCTGTGTTGTTTGTGATTAGTTAATATGTGTGTATTTGTGGTAGGTGGTGATTGTTTGAGTGGTTGATTGATTGGTTATGTTGTTTGGTTGATGTTTGTTGAGTGCACATCAGAGTCAGCTGCATTCGGTTATACGTCCACGTGTGCAGTGTTAACTGTGTGCGAAATAGACATGCGATATGATAGTGTTGGAATTATTTCCACATGATGATATTGCAACATTAGTGTTGTTGTCTAAAGTGTGAGTGTTGTGTTGATTTATCTTTGTTTTTTTGTTTATTTTCTGTGTTTGTTTTGTTTTTCTCGCTTTCATGAATGTTTATGTTTCTGTGGTTGCCGACGTTGTGTTCTGTTTTTCCTATCATTACGGATGTGTGGAATTAAGATGTTTTGTTTTCTGTGTGTTTTGTTTCATGATTTTTTTTTGATTTCACTCTTAATTTTAGTTTTGGATTCGGACGATGGATATTTATTTGTAATTGATATGCATTACTATTGAGTGTATTAAAAGATCCCCATCATATTAAGGATTAATATTTGAACGAAAAATTAGCTTACCATATATGCTTCGTTCAATTACTGATGTTGTAATATGATGAAGATCTTTAAATGAATAAAATTTTTAATCTTTTTTTGATTTTTGTTTACTTTTCGTTTATTAGGATGTTTCACCAAATATTATTCATCTACTTTTGGATATTCATAATCTTCGTAATACTGATCTTCCTTCTTCCTGTACATTGTGTATATTCGATGCATTATTTCGAATAGGACTTGTTAAACAATTAATCCCGTTGGAAGATGGTATCATTTGTAATTTCAGCTGTTTCTCTATTGATTTCACTTATATTGTTGGTTCAATTTATGATGATACAACTTTGAGGTCCGATGTTCGTGATATTATTGATTGGTTTGTATCACCACTTCGCTTACTGTCAGAGTGCAATATCACAGTTGACCGAAAGTGTTGTGGATGTAGAACTGAATTACAAGTTCCTTTATCAATCCCAATATTTTGTTTACCACTAATTAGGTAAGTGTTTTAATTCATTTGCTTTCCTTATTGTTTTCCCTAATATCTGTTGTCAAGTAAACTTTCACTTTTTACAAGTGATAATGATCAGTTGACATCTGTGCAGTAACTAACTTACTGATGTTAATCTTAACTGTATGTTTTGATATAAATCATCTGCCTGGTTTTTTTATCACATGGTTGACACGATCATTAGTTCAAGACGCTGATTGGTATTGCTCAGAATCGATCCCAATATCACCGACTGGTTTACACTTTGTATTCTTAATGTTTGGTGCGCTGTTTTTGCTTTATGTAAACAACTCGATTTGAAAGGGACATGCTATGCTCAATGTTAATGATAGATAAATGTTTGATTCCTTTCCCATTGATTATTTTGGTATGAATAATTTACCTCAAGTACAAACAGATCCATTTAATTACCGTAAACATCGTCTAGAAATTTGAAGTGATCTGACTCAGAATCGTTCCTTATGATGGAGGTACCTTCACTGTTTGTGTTCCCTTTTAATTTGAGTCCAAGAATCTCCTTATTACAGTTTCTTTCATCATTCTATGCCTTAATTTTTCTACTACTAACGATACTGTTGCTACTGCTACAATCCTGATATTAGTGTTGATTATTCTACTTTGTTGTACTAATGTGTTGTGGGAAGTTGAACCGATCCTCATATGTAACAAATGCAACTTGATTATTCAGTATTGGTTAGTTTTATTTATGTAAGGCTTCAACAATACTTCATAACTGTCAAAATCGATGCATATTGATCATGATTCAAATCTGTAACTTGTTCAATAGTTGAGATCATGAGTCAATTGAAGTTAGACCACCATGGTAAACTTGGAAGCAGTGGATGGCCATTTCGTCTTGTTACAAGATTCTTCAGCATTATTTAAAATCTTTTGAAACGATTTGACATGATATTGTGTTTTCAATATTCTACGCCAATATCTATCACGTTTGAAACTTAGTATATCCTAACCATGTCGAATATGTTTTTTCCTCTATCTCTCATACAACAGACCATTACCAGTGGAAAATATTTTAAAACTATTGGCTGATACATTAACAACACTTGTAAATACTCTACATTGTTCTACTGAGTTCAGTTCAGGTTAGAATTACATCTTATTTTCTTTCTTTTTGTTTGTGTATATTGGTGATTTGATTTTCTCTGTTTGTTGAAACTATCCAAGAAATGCATACCTAATGTTGAAAGCCATTGACTAATCGATTACTAACTTATACTGCCTTCTCGTGGCAGGGGTGTTGTTTGATAAAAGATAGGACAAAAAGTTAATGTTCGGCGCTTTAACCGGGTCGGTGGATACAAAGGATCCACCTGATGTGGAGTTTGATGACCTTGATTCCAAACAAAAATGGTGTACATGGGCTCCAGAATCCTAAGGTTACAAATGGCGTATGAACCAATAATTTGTGATTGGCCACCATGGAACTGTATCTCCTTACGTTCATCCATTGCCTTATGGTTTAAACCCTTAGATCAAAGCCTCGAGATGTGACACCCTGAGAAAACCACCAGGGAAATATCTTAGCACAAATGTATTTGGTGCCTTCTTGTACCAATGTTTATTTGTATAAATAAACTCATTAAGACCTATATTTCCACAGAATTAATCAAAACACACTATCCATGTAACATTTTTCTTTCCTAATAGAAAATAGAATAACCATAGAAAACAAAGAGCGATTATTCCAAATAATGGCCGTCGTACAAGCTGTACAAAAACTTCAATTACGCACAAAACATTGTAATACATATTTTCAAATTACTCCAGATGAATTATCCTTGAAAAAATTGATTTCACTAGCCAAGTAAGTGTTTTGAAGAAGATAAATAGTATTATGGGAATAAATAAAATGCATAGTGTGTTTAAAAGAACAAATCACTTATAAATCCTTTTGAAAAATCAAATTACAACAAAATTCCTTAATACATTATACACCTTAGTTAAATGGAAGGCATATAGATGAAAAAATCAAGCAACTAACGCAGAGGATACTACTTAAAAGGTTGAAATTAGGAGTGAATGAATACAGTGACTGTTTCTGTTGTTACCCATAATACGTTATGTACTGAGAATAAATGTAGAGCTGTGCATCACACCGACAGAGTGTAATCTCTGTTTTCGGGTTGGAGCTCAGCGATATTGATTGTTTGTGTATGGATTGTGATGGATATGTGATTGTGTTGAATTGTGTGCATGCACTTAACGCAGCTGCACTCTCGGGTAGATGTTATTGTCTATCGGAATTCGGATGCTGCAATATTTAGTGTTACCCTTGCCTCTTACTGCCTATGACTGTGGCAGTCCATCATTGAGGGTTGACATGTTGTGAGAGTGTTTGTATTCATGTTAAGTATGAATCGTGGTTTTTGCATTCGTGACGATAGTGTTGTTGGTAGTTTGTGTGTTTATGTTAAATAGGTTTTTTTTGTATTTTGTTTGTGGATCGTTTGTGATTGTGGTTGAATGAATATGGTCAGTTGTTGCCCATAATACGTTGTGTACTGGGCATAAATGTAGAGCTGTGCATCACACCGACAGAGTGTAATCTCTGTTTTCGGGTTGGAGCTCAGCGATATTGATTGTTTGTGTATGGATTGTGATGGATATGTGATTGTGTTGAATTGTGTGCATGCACTTAACGCAGCTGCACTCTCGGGTAGATGTTATTGTCTATCGGAATTCGGATGCTGCAATATTGAGTGTTACCCTTGCCTCTTACTGCCTATGACTGTGGCAGTCCATCATTGAGGGTTGACATGTTGTGAGAGTGTTTGTATTCATGTTAAGTATGAATCGTGGTTTTTGCATTCGTGACGATAGTGTTGTTGGTAGTTTGTGTGTTTATGTTAAATAGGTTTTTTTTGTATTTTGTTTGTGGATCGTTTGTGATTGTGGTTGAATGAATATGGTCAGTTGTTGCCCATAATACGTTGTGTACTGGGCATAAATGTAGAGCTGTGCATCACACCGACAGAGTGTAATCTCTGTTTTCGGGTTGGAGCTCAGCGATATTGATTGTTTGTGTATGGATTGTGATGGATATGTGATTGTGTTGAATTGTGTGCATGCACTTAACGCAGCTGCACTCTCGGGTAGATGTTATTGTCTATCGGAATTCGGATGTTGCAATATTGAGTGTTACCCTTGCCTCTTACTGCCTATGACTGTGGCAGTCCATCATTGAGGGTTGACATGTTGTGAGAGTGTTTGTATTCATGTTAAGTATGAATCGTGGTTTTTGCATTCGTGACGATAGTGTTGTTGGTAGTTTGTGTGTTTATGTTAAATAGGTTTTTTTTGTATTTTGTTTGTGGATCGTTTGTGATTGTGGTTGAATGAATATGGTCAGTTGTTGCCCATAATACGTTGTGTACTGGGCATAAATGTAGAGCTGTGCATCACACCGACAGAGTGTAATCTCTGTTTTCGGGTTGGAGCTCAGCGATATTGATTGTTTGTGTATGGATTGTGATGGATATGTGATTGTGTTGAATTGTGTGCATGCACTTAACGCAGCTGCACTCTCGGGTAGATGTTATTGTCTATCGGAATTCGGATGCTGCAATATTGAGTGTTACCCTTGCCTCTTACTGCCTATGACTGTGGCAGTCCATCATTGAGGGTTGACATGTTGTGAGAGTGTTTGTATTCATGTTAAGTATGAATCGTGGTTTTTGCATTCGTGACGATAGTGTTGTTGGTAGTTTGTGTGTTTATGTTAAATAGGTTTTTTTTGTATTTTGTTTGTGGATCGTTTGTGATTGTGGTTGAATGAATATGGTCAGTTGTTGCCCATAATACGTTGTGTACTGGGCATAAATGTAGAGCTGTGCATCACACCGACAGAGTGTAATCTCTGTTTTCGGGTTGGAGCTCAGCGATATTGATTGTTTGTGTATGGATTGTGATGGATATGTGATTGTGTTGAATTGTGTGCATGCACTTAACGCAGCTGCACTCTCGGGTAGATGTTATTGTCTATCGGAATTCGGATGCTGCAATATTGAGTGTTACCCTTGCCTCTTACTGCCTATGACTGTGGCAGTCCATCATTGAGGGTTGACATGTTGTGAGAGTGTTTGTATTCATGTTAAGTATGAATCGTAGTTTTTGCATTCGTGACGATAGTGTTGTTGGTAGTTTGTGTGTTTATGTTAAATAGGTTTTTTTTGTATTTTGTTTGTGGATCGTTTGTGATTGTGGTTGAATGAATATGGTCAGTTGTTGCCCATAATACGTTGTGTACTGAGAATAAATGTAGAGCTGTGCATCACACCGACAGAGTGTAATCTCTGTTTTCGGGTTGGAGCTCAGCGATATTGATTGTTTGTGTATGGATTGTGATGGATATGTGATTGTGTTGAGTTGTGTGCATGCACTTAACGCAGCTGCACTCTCGGGTAGATGTTATTGTCTATCGGAATTCGGATGCTGCAATATTGAGTGTTACCCTTGCCTCTTACTGCCTATGACTGTGGCAGTCCATCATTGAGGGTTGACATGTTGTGAGAGTGTTTGTATTCATGTTAAGTATGAATCGTGGTTTTTGCATTCGTGACGATAGTGTTGTTGGTAGTTTGTGTGTTTATGTTAAATAGGTTTTTTTTGTATTTTGTTTGTGGATCGTTTGTGATTGTGGTTGAATGAATATGGTCAGTTGTTGCCCATAATACGTTGTGTACTGGGCATAAATGTAGAGCTGTGCATCACACCGACAGAGTGTAATCTCTGTTTTCGGGTTGGAGCTCAGCGATATTGATTGTTTGTGTATGGATTGTGATGGATATGTGATTGTGTTGAATTGTGTGCATGCACTTAACGCAGCTGCACTCTCGGGTAGATGTTATTGTCTATCGGAATTCGGATGCTGCAATATTGAGTGTTACCCTTGCCTCTTACTGCCTATGACTGTGGCAGTCCATCATTGAGGGTTGACATGTTGTGAGAGTGTTTGTATTCATGTTAAGTATGAATCGTGGTTTTTGCATTCGTGACGATAGTGTTGTTGGTAGTTTGTGTGTTTATGTTAAATAGGTTTTTTTTGTATTTTGTTTGTGGATCGTTTGTGATTGTGGTTGAATGAATATGGTCAGTTGTTGCCCATAATACGTTGTGTACTGGGCATAAATGTAGAGCTGTGCATCACACCGACAGAGTGTAATCTCTGTTTTCGGGTTGGAGCTCAGCGATATTGATTGTTTGTGTATGGATTGTGATGGATATGTGATTGTGTTGAATTGTGTGCATGCACTTAACGCAGCTGCACTCTCGGGTAGATGTTATTGTCTATCGGAATTCGGATGCTGCAATATTGAGTGTTACCCTTGCCTCTTACTGCCTATGACTGTGGCAGTCCATCATTGAGGGTTGACATGTTGTGAGAGTGTTTGTATTCATGTTAAGTATGAATCGTGGTTTTTGCATTCGTGACGATAGTGTTGTTGGTAGTTTGTGTGTTTATGTTAAATAGGTTTTTTTTGTATTTTGTTTGTGGATCGTTTGTGATTGTGGTTGAATGAATATGGTCAGTTGTTGCCCATAATACGTTGTGTACTGGGCATAAATGTAGAGCTGTGCATCACACCGACAGAGTGTAATCTCTGTTTTCGGGTTGGAGCTCAGCGATATTGATTGTTTGTGTATGGATTGTGATGGATATGTGATTGTGTTGAATTGTGTGCATGCACTTAACGCAGCTGCACTCTCGGGTAGATGTTATTGTCTATCGGAATTCGGATGCTGCAATATTGAGTGTTACCCTTGCCTCTTACTGCCTATGACTGTGGCAGTCCATCATTGAGGGTTGACATGTTGTGAGAGTGTTTGTATTCATGTTAAGTATGAATCGTGGTTTTTGCATTCGTGACGATAGTGTTGTTGGTAGTTTGTGTGTTTATGTTAAATAGGTTTTTTTTGTATTTTGTTTGTGGATCGTTTGTGATTGTGGTTGAATGAATATGGTCAGTTGTTGCCCATAATACGTTGTGTACTGGGCATAAATGTAGAGCTGTGCATCACACCGACAGAGTGTAATCTCTGTTTTCGGGTTGGAGCTCAGCGATATTGATTGTTTGTGTATGGATTGTGATGGATATGTGATTGTGTTGAATTGTGTGCATGCACTTAACGCAGCTGCACTCTCGGGTAGATGTTATTGTCTATCGGAATTCGGATGCTGCAATATTGAGTGTTACCCTTGCCTCTTACTGCCTATGACTGTGGCAGTCCATCATTGAGGGTTGACATGTTGTGAGAGTGTTTGTATTCATGTTAAGTATGAATCGTGGTTTTTGCATTCGTGACGATAGTGTTGTTGGTAGTTTGTGTGTTTATGTTAAATAGGTTTTTTTTGTATTTTGTTTGTGGATCGTTTGTGATTGTGGTTGAATGAATATGGTCAGTTGTTGCCCATAATACGTTGTGTACTGGGCATAAATGTAGAGCTGTGCATCACACCGACAGAGTGTAATCTCTGTTTTCGGGTTGGAGCTCAGCGATATTGATTGTTTGTGTATGGATTGTGATGGATATGTGATTGTGTTGAATTGTGTGCATGCACTTAACGCAGCTGCACTCTCGGGTAGATGTTATTGTCTATCGGAATTCGGATGCTGCAATATTGAGTGTTACCCTTGCCTCTTACTGCCTATGACTGTGGCAGTCCATCATTGAGGGTTGACATGTTGTGAGAGTGTTTGTATTCATGTTAAGTATGAATCGTGGTTTTTGCATTCGTGACGATAGTGTTGTTGGTAGTTTGTGTGTTTATGTTAAATAGGTTTTTTTTGTATTTTGTTTGTGGAT